GAGAGAGAGTGTTGGGTGTGTTGATGTCTCTGGGTCCGTCAGTGCATGCAGGAGTGTGTGTCCGGGCATGCACAGTCTGAGGGATGCGGGGGAGCAGACACCCAGAGAAATCTGGAAGCAGGTCTGACCCTGAGCAGGAGCAGGGAGGACAAAGGGACAGCCAGCTGCACCAGCAATGATCCCAGCCTTCACTGGGGAGGAGCCCATGGACTTGGGTGCTCACCTGGGCACTCACCTGGACCCATCCTCCCCCTCCTCATTATGAGGCCCCAAGCCCCTCCCCCCACCCCCCATGCCCTCAGTCCTGCCCTGAGAGCCGGGTCTGAGGTGGGCGGAGGAGGTGGGCAGCACCCACAGAGGCTCTGAGGCATGGCCAAGCTGTGCACCATTTTTATTGGTTCATTGGGTCTTGATCCCAGGCTGGGCGTTGCATCTTGGGGGGCAGCAGGGAGCGGGCAGGTGTCCATGCACAAAGGGAAGGGTGGAGAGTGGGCTCTTGGGTCTGGGGTGTGACAGGGGTGTGTCCGATGCACCCTGGTCCTGCTTTCTGGGTCAGAAATCCTTCCTCTTCACCTGCCAAGGGGAGGACGGGGTCAGAGCCTGGGTGCCGGAGCTGGGGTGCGCCTGGGGTGCTCAGCTCGCAGCCCTGGCTGCCCCATCAGGAGCCATCCTCAGTATCACCAAAGAAAGCTCTGAGGGCCCCTGTGCCCAGTGCACAGCCTGACCCCTCCGCCTGCTGGCCCCTGCCCCCTTCCCGCTTACCATGGCCACCAGGACAAGGGCGCTGACCAGCACGGCGTACAGGGCAGCCTTCCCCAGCAGGACCTCGTAGAGGACAGTGGCAGACAGGACACCCTGCTGGTAGGACACTGGGGGCGGGGGACAGCCTGTGTGCAGGTGGCCCCAACTCCACTCCACCCAATGCCCTGGGCTCCCCAGACACTGTCCAGATGTGGGAGATGTGGGGGTGGGGTGGGGTGCACTTACCTGAGGTGAGGCCACAGTCTGAAAGAGAAGGGGAGGGGGCAAGTGGGTGAGGGGGCAGAGGTGGGGAGGGGATTGGCAGATTGGGTCTGGTCTCCTCCTGGACAGCCGTCCCCAGTGTCCCTGTGCCTCTAGGCCTAGGACTCCAGGACACGAGGGCCAGTGGGCTGGGTCAGCACCCCTCCTTTCTCTGAATTATATCTCCCTGTCCCCATTTCCCCCCATCCCACAGCCTGTTCCCCTGGTCCCTCACTCTCACCCCCAGGATGACTGGCTTGTCCCCCTGCCCCTCCATCAAATCCCACCCCAAGCTGGGGCCCCCCTCCCCAGGCTGGCCGGCCGGCCTCACCTGCACGGCCCCAGGCCTCGGCACTGATGTTCTGGGTCACAGGCTTGGGCCTGGTCTGGCGCCACTCGTCCTCATCAGAGAGCCCGTAGAAGCGCACCTGGCAGCTGAAGAGGTTGCGCGGGTTGTGCCAGAAGGTGGCGGACACCCGCAGGCGGCTGCTCAGGCAGTAAGTGGACGCTGGCTCGCTGGGATGCTCCTTCAGGGGCTGGGGGTCGGTGCTGACCCCGCTGCGGGTCTCCTGACCATTGACCAACCAGCGCAGCTCCACGTGGTCGGGGTAGAAGCCGGTGGCCAGGCACACGAGGGTGGCCTTCTGGGTGTGGGCGATCTCTGCCTCGGAGGGCTCAAACAGGGCCACCTTGGGTGGGGCCACCTTGTCCAGGTTCTCTGGGGGTGGGGGTGGGGGAAGGGCTGCTCAGAGGCTGTACATGCGTGTGTGCACGTGTGTGCGAGTGTGCAAGTTTGTAGTGTGTGCATGTGTATTGTGTGTGGGAGTGTGCAAGTTTGTAGTGTGTGCCTGTGTGTGGGAGTGTGTGTATTGTGTGTTCATGTGTGCAAGTTAGTAGTATGTGCATGTGTGTGTATTGTGTGTGCATGTGCAAGTTAGTAGTGTGTGCCTGTGTGTAGGAGTGTGTGTATCGTGTGTGCAAGTTTGTATTGTGAGCATGTATATGTGTGCATGTATGCATGTGAGAGTGTGTGTACTGTGTATGTGCTTACATGGGTGCATGGTGTGAGAGCGAGCAGTGTACCCATGTGTATGTGTGCATGCATGTGTATGAGAGTGTGTGTACTGTGTGCATGCATGTACATGCATATGTATGTGTGCAGTGGTCCACGGGTCCTGGGATGATGCATGCCCTCACCCATCCTGAGTACACGGGCCCCACAGGGACACACTGTCCAGCTCCACTTATGCCCAAGACAGCCTCTGTGCAGCTCTGCCCCTGGACCCTGCCTGTCCTTGCTCAGCTCACACTGTGGAGGTCTCCTCTGGTGTCAAACACAGGGACACCACCTCCTTCTTGGTCCCTATGTCTCCAGACATTCTGTTTTAGCCTCAGTGAGCACCTGCCTTTATCATAGCCCCTAGCTGCCCCAGTGTCTCACACTGCCTTTGTCCCCACCGCCCTTTTTGGGGTGCCTCGGGGCCCAGGCACCGTTCCTGGGGTCTACTCCACACCCACAGGGCCTGCTCTCTTGGCAGGTTCCCTACTCGTGGCTGTCTCCCTGCCCAGCAATTCCCTGCTCTCAGCATCGTTGTCAGCTCGAGAGCCATTCTGTCAGAACACAGAAGCCCGGTCCTCGCGGTCACCCAGTCTCCCTTGGACTAAGGCACAATGCTGTTCGAAGCGCCACGTCCCAGTTCTCTGGGTTTGACCTTGTCCAGAGCCAGCCTCGTGCGCCTCTGACCCCTGGAGTCCCATGATCCCAACACTGAGGGTCTTGCTCAGTTCCAAGCTCTGTGGCTGCCATCTTGGATTTCTTGGTAATGTTTCAACAAGATCCCCCATGCTCACACACTTTACTGGGTCCTCACCCATTGGGCTACAATTCGAAAGGTCAGTAGTTCAAAACCACCATCCTTTCTGCTCCTGTAAAGAGTTACAGTCTCTGAAGCTCACAGGGGCCACTCCACCCTATCCTGTGGGGTCGCCAGGGGTCAGGATCGCCTCATGGCAATAAGTTTGTTTATCCCCTCTCCTGCCAGCCCCCTACCCTCCCTAATTGTGACTGTGTCAGCAGGCCTTTATGGGGTGCCCCCAGCTGTTGACCTCCATCTGCAGCTGTTGGCTCCAGCCCTCTTTCTGTTCTGACCCGTTCTGCTCCGACCGGTCATTTATCTCTGGCATCAAGGACTGGAATCTGTGTTTTCCAGTTTCGCAGGGCAGCACCAAATGAGACCGATCCTCTCCCTCCTGGACAACTCAGTCCTAGCTATAAAACGTGAAAGACAAAGACGCCCTAGGCCCCAAGGGCTTCTTTCCTGGTGCTCACTGACTAGTCTGGGGTGGGGGACAAGTGGAGGCACAGCCCCACTGTACCCCACAGCCTCACTGTACTCCACACACCACTGTACCCACAGCCCCACTGTACCCCATAGCCTCACTGTACCCCATAGCCTCACTGTACCCCACACCCCACTATACCCCACAGACTCATTGTACCCACAGCCCCACTGTACCCCATAGCCTCACTGTACCCCACACCCCACTGTGCCCCACAGACTTATTGTACCCACAGCCTCACTGTACCCCACACCCCACATACCCACAGTTTCCCTGTACCCACAGCCTCACTGTACCCCACACCCCACATATCCACAGCCTCACTGTACCCCACAGCCAACTTCTACTCCTCTGTTACCCTTCCATCCACTTTGGGGCTGAGTGTGGGGAGGCAGCTGTGTGCACCGAGGGCCCCTGCTATGTGGACTCTCTGGGTTGGACTCCACCTCCACCCTGGTATTTTCCCAGTCCTGCTGGGACAGGGCTTCGGCAGAGGAGAGGAACGGGTGGCTACAGCAACACAATAGAAAAACATAGCAAACCTCTCTGGACCGTGGAGTTGATGCTGACTCCCAGAGCGCCCATAGACCGGGTGGAGCTGCCCCTGCGAGTTTCCCAGAGGAACTCTATGGGCGCAGAAAGTCCTATCTTTCCCCTGTGGAGCGGCTGGTGGTTCCCACTGCTGACCTTGCAGTTAGCAGCCAAGGGACAGTCCAGTGTCCACAGCCATGGTAAGTGGCTGAACAGGTTGGTACACTTCATAGTTGAAGGGACTGGGGCTCACTGACTGGCCCAGGTCACCAAGGTCACTGAGTGGGAGGGAGTGGGGGTTGGCAGCAGTCTTGGTATCCAGCCTCCTCTGCCCCATCCAGCCTAGTGACCTTAGAGGGGTCAGGCTGCCCTTGATGTCCCCAGGGACTGTCCTAGTGCTGGGCTCTTGGCTGAAGTCCCTCCCTAGCCAGTGACCCCATCATGGGTGATGGATGCTCATACCTGCGCCACACAGGCTGCTTGAACTCCTTCACCGCCCCTCCCCCACTCAATAACGCCTAGCCTCAGCTGGGGGGTGGGGGTAGGGCTGGTTCTGCTGACCCTCTCTACAAAACTTCAGAGCCCCTGCTGCCTCTTCCTCCAGACCAGCACCTCCCCCAAGCCCTTACACCTCTCCTTCTACACACCTCCTGGCAGTCAAAGACCTCAGGAAAAAAGACTCAAAGCTGCCCACTGCCCACACAGACGGGAGCACACCCCCCCTCTCCAACCCCTCCCAGTCCTTCCAGGAGCAGGCAGTGCGAGAGGAAGTGGCCACAGCACTTAGGCGAGTCTACAGCCCCCTTCCCGCGACTGAGGGCTAATCCCAAGGGGATGGGCTGGGGCCAGGGGGTAGGGAGTAGGGAGCTGGGCAGGGGGTGGACATAAGTCTCAATCTTACCTGTGACCGTGAGCCTAGTGCCGGGGCCGAAGTGCTGCTCATAGGAGCACAGACACTCAGCCCGTGGTGCAAACCGGCTCCCCCCTCCCTCTGCAGTACTCCAGCCCCACAGCCGTGCCCCATCCTCTCCTGGGACCCCATTCCAGGTATCCCGGGCCAGGACAGGGAGGGATCTCAGTGTCCAGACAGGGACGCGCTCCCACCTTGTCCCACCCATTCCGGACCCCCGATGGACCCCCCCAGCCCAGCCCCCAGTTCCCCTAGGCCACCCCCCTAACACCCCGCAGCCCCAGCCCGGGGTACCCGCTCACCCAGCACTGTCAGCCGGGTGCCGGAGCCGAACGTCTGAGTCTCTGCTCACAGCCTGCCGGCCCGGAGCAAAAACGGGAGGGGCTGCGGGCGCCCCGACCCCCGCCGTCCTCCCGCGCCCCTGTGCCCCCTGCCCGCCCGACCCCGGGTCCCGCTCACCAAGCACAGTCAGCCGGGTTCCCCCGCCGAAGTACTGAATGTCTTGGCTCACAGCCGCGGGGTGCGTGGCAAAAATGGGGCGCTTACGAGCCGCGGGATCCGGAGCCGGGGGGCCCCAAAGCCTGGAGGCCCCTCCCTCGCTCCCAGCTGGGACCTGAGCCCTGTGCCACCCCGCGCAGCCCACCCACCCGCCGAGGGCCCCCCACCCTCGCCGCCCGGACGCCCTCCTTACCCAGCACGGTCAGCCGAGTCCCTTCCCCAAAGTCTAGCGCGGAGGTGCTCGCACAGCCCCAGGGCCCGGGGTGCAAACCCTGATGGGGACTCGGGATGCCCGGCAGGACCGGGCTCCAGGCTGGGGTTCAGAGTCCAGAGCTCCTCGGGCTGAGCAACCGCCTCACCCCGCACCGGCCCCACCAACTGCCCACCCCCCACGCCCACCCCCACCCCCGTCTTACCCAGCACGGTCAGCCGGGTCCCCTGTCCAAAGAATTGCTCGTTGTAGTTGCACAGTGAAAAGGAGTGCCAAGAATTCCCAGCCCCCCATCTGCAGCCTGCAGGCAGACCCCCCCTTCCACTCCTCCAGGCTCCCAGCCCCCAGCAGGAGCTGAGCAAAGTGACCACAGTCCTGTGTGGTCAGTCTTATGTGCGGGGAAGGGGACTCTGTTTGGTTTGGGACAAGGTGCTGGACCTGACCAGAGGAGCCCTGTGGGTGCTGAGGACACTGGTGGGCAGGGCCAGGCTCCAGGCTGACCCTGCCGCTGACCCTGCCGCTGACCCTGGCTCTCACCCCTCACCGAGACCCCTCCTGCCTCGGTTTCCTTGCTGGAAAACTGGGTACCATCTTTGGCTGCGGCATCAGGAGGGACCTGATCCTAGGAAAGGACTTTGTCCTGCATGGTGACGCCGAGGGTCAAGGCCATGGATTGACCCCGTGACTGCAGGAGTGGGGCCATGATCCTGAGGAGGGTGAAGGGCAGGGCCGTGTTTGCTTTGTGAATGTGGGGTCCCCATGGCGCGCAGAGCAACAGCAGCCCCTTCCTCCCAGGGGTTATGAGTTTGAATCCACACAGCCTGATGGAGTTCTTGTCTGGGGAGGGGGTTCTGGGCCTCAGCAGGGAGGGCTCCACGCTCCCGCCCCCCCCAGTCTGTAACTGCTCCCTCTGGGCTGGTAGGATCTTCTTCCTGTTGTGTCCTCCCTCCCCCAGTCAGGGCTTTGATCTCTTTATTATTTAAGCCAATTGTCCCAATCACACCTGTTACAACTGACTTTCCCCAGCCCAGGAGCCAATGGTGGCCTTGGTCAACCAGGGGGCAGGGGGCCCCTCATCCCTGGGACACAGCTTGGGCCTGTGCCAGGCAGCCTTTTTGTAAAGCCCTCTCCTTGATCTGAATCACCGTGCCCCCCCCCAAGTCCCACAATGTTACACCCAGGGACAAAAAGCCCCCCACCTTCTCCCCACTTCTCCCTGCCACCTTGGGGGCAGGAAGCACAGGTGGTCGGGGCTGGTGTGACTGCGGGGCCAGGACTTGACATGGGTGAATTTCAGGGGCAGAGGCCCCTCCTACAGACACCCCAGAGGAGACCACCAATCAGGGAGCCTTCCTGCTGGGGAGGGGCTACTAACCTGGGCCCCCCTGTGCAGTGTGACATTTATAGAGAGGTAGGTAGGAGGGTTGAGGGGGCAGGGCTGCTTGGCAGCAAACCCTCAGAGCAGGTGACAGGGGCCTCTGGCCAAGGACAAGCTCCCCAAAGGTCTGTGAGCCTTCACTTTGTGTTGAGCAAACTCTGGGCTCCCTCCCTCCAGCGAATTTGATGGGGTCGTACTGTTTACCCAGCCCTAGGCCAGCTCTGATGATCCTAGCCTTTCTTTGGGCTGCCCACTGCCTCTTCAGTCTCATTCAGGGGTCCCTCCTGGTCTTTGTTCACTGGCAGGGCCCCTCTCTCAGGTGGGCTACTGGGACAAGGCTTCCTGGGACGGCCAGCTTGTCGCCTTTTGTGGACCCCTCTGGAGTTGGGGACTGAGCCCCCACTCTGTGCCTGTTGCTTAGTCTGCTTTTCTTAGCTGTTCTGGGTTGACAAGAGACCTGCAGAGAGAGCACTGGCCCATGGACACCCTGGTGTCCCCTGGGGGGCTTCTCCCGTGAAATATGTTCTGCTTCAGGGCTCCTGTGTTCTATGGCCCAGGGTGGCTACATCACTGTGAACTGGCATCTTGGGCTCACAGGAGGGGCCACTCTGTGTGTTCAGACCTACAGTCTCAGAAACTGTACTCAGGGTCGCTGTGAGTCGTAGCGGACTCCGTGGTCATGGGTTTGGATTCTGACAAATGCACCATGCCTGTATCTTCCATTACTGTGGAATGTGACTCATCCCACCCCATGCTCAACAGGCGAAGCACCGCTGGGTCCTGGGCTGCCCTGTCTTGCTGCAGCCACTGTGGCAATCCATCTTGGCCAGGGCCTTCCTCTTTTCCTTTACCAAGGATGCCGTCCTTTTCCAGGGACTGGTCAGTCTCTCCTGACAGCATGTCCAACCTATGTGAGACGCAGTCTCCCCATGCACGCTTCTAAGGAGCAGGCTGACTGTATTTCCCCCAAACAGATGGGTTTGGTCTTTTGGAGTCCGTGTGGCCCTTTGGATGTTCTCCACCAGCGCCACCATTCAAATGGTGTGTGTCGCTACAACCGTCTCTATCTGTTTTTATGAATCATGTTATTGAGGGGGGCTCTTACAAACCTTATGGCAATCCATCATTCAATTGTATTAAGCGCACTTGTGCATAGGTTGCTGTCAGCATTTCCAAAACATTTTCTTTCTACTTGAGCCCTTGGTATCAGCTCATCTTTTCCCCCTCTTCCACCCCTCCCACCCTTGTGATTCCTTGATCAATGATATATTACTGTTATTTCATGTATGACACTATCTGTTGTCTCCCTTCACCCACCTTTCTGTTATTTACCCCCTAGGGATGGGCTATATATCCAACCTTGTGATGGGTACCCCCTATATCCCCCTTACCCTTACCTCTCCTCCCATTCCCCTAACCCCACGATATCGCTGCTCCCACTACTATTCTTGAGGGTTTGTCTGTCCTGAAGTCCATGTGTGGAGAGCTCTTATCTGTACCAATGTGCATACTCTGGTCCAGCCGGCTTTGTCAGGTAGAACTGGGTCATGGCAGTATATGTTGGAATGCATGCGAGCTCTTCAGTTCTGCGAGAGCCCTGGGGTCCTGGGAATAGAAGGGCAGGGAGCTCCTGCTGGGGATGGCCTTGGGCAATCAATCACTCACCGATCCATTCTCAGGTGATTAACTGAGTCTGTGTGCTGGTCCAGCTGCTGCACCATGGTGTCAGGCAGGTAGCGATCATGCCCTTCACGGGTGAGAAAGGTCATGAAGGTGATGTAAGGGGCAGGCAGGGCAGGGAAGAGTCCTTGCGGGGAGGGCGCCTGAACCGGACATGGGAAAGAGGCAGGCACTCCTCAGGAAGATGGGGTGGCATCACCCCAGTAGAAGCTGTCATTAAGGAGTCAATGGTGGGTTGCACTCTCTCAGGAGTTCTGCATGTGTCCAGAGGCCTGGTGTGTACCCCATGACAATGACCAGGCAGTGAAGGGGTACAGAAACAGGACTGGTTCTCTGAAAGAGGGGGATTCACTTTCTACGCCCCCAAGAATGGCCTGGGGCCTCTGATACCCAGCCAAGTCTCTAGGGAGAGATACATCATCCAGTCTGTCATTAAATGGGGTCGCATAGCCCCTTCCCCAGGGGCTTTTTAAAAAATAATTTTATTGGGGGCTCTTATAGTTCTTATAACAATCCATACATCCATTGTGTCAAGCACATTTGTACATATGCTGCCATCATCATTTCCAAAACAGTTTCTTTTTACTTGAGCCCTTGGTATCAGCTCCCCATATTTTTTCCTCCCTTCCCCACTCTCCCTCCCTCATGGATCTGCTTTCTGCTCCGGGCAGAAAAACCTGCTTGGGCACCATGAGGACAGGGGTGCTTGGGGGCAGAGCTACAGGATGCCAGCTTTGCTCACCTGGGGGGACATGCTGGCTTGGCAGGGACACACCTGTGTCAGGTGTGCTTGTTCACCTGGGCGGGGGCAGGGGGGGCGCACCTGTGCCAGCTCTCCCTCAGAGCACCTTCAGGCCCAGGAAACAGAAACTCCTGCCTCACACTCTGCTCTCTACCTGGCTCCAGAGCAGCCCCTCCCCGCCCTCAGCACCCTGTCTGTCTCACACTTCACCAGTCCCAGGGGCAGGAGGAGGGCCAGCAGGTGTGAGGGGCTGCCTGGGCCACTAGCTCCTGCCGCTCCCCCAGTGGGGTCAGAGAGGGCAGCGGGATATTAGACTCTCAGAGCAAGCCAAACAGACCATGTTTATTGTGTGGGTCCCAGGGTTCAGGCCCTGGTGGGGGGTCAAGGGGACGGGGGTGTGAAGGTTGCTTGCACGTGGCGTGGTGAGTCTGGGGGAGCTGGGAGCGCTGGCAGGAGCCCGCTGGTCAGAGGAAGGCAGGTTGCTGTGTGGGCCTCCCCTTTCTGCCCTTAGGGAAGCTTTAGGCGTTCTTCTTCTTGACCTGAGGAAGCAGAAGTTTGGGGTGGCAGGAGACGGCAGAAGTGTCGGGGGGAGAGGATGTAGGCAGTGCTGACAGCATCTGTATGGTTTCTGGAGCCAAACAGCACACCCACGATAACCACTGAGAGTGGCCTCTGGGCTTTGCAAGCACCCAGGTATTGCCCCCCCCCCACTGCCCCCTTCTGACCCGCTTACCATGGCCACCAGGACCAAGGCGCTGACCAGCGCGGCGTACAGGGCAGCCTTCCCCAGCAGGACCTCGTAGAGGACAGTGGCAGACAGGACACCCTGCTGGTAGGACACTGGGAGGGGCAGCCCGTGAGCAGGTGGCCCTGGCCCCACCCTACCCAGTGCTCTGGGCTCCCCAGACACCGTCCAGATGTGGGAGATGTGGGGGTGGGGTGGGGTGCACTTACCTGAGGTGAGGCCACAGTCTGAAAGAGAAGGGGAGGGGGCAAGTGGGTGAGGGGGACAGGTGAGGAGGGGATTGGCAGATTGGATCTGGTCTCCTCCTGGACAGCCGTCCCCAGAGTCCCTATGCCTCTAGGCCTAGGACTCCAGGACACGAGGGCCAGTGGGCTGGGTCAGCACCCCTCCTT